TCCGGGCTCTCCAGCTTCCTTCACTAATAAAAACTTATCGCCACGAAATAGCACAATAGTGGTGATAGTGGCATTAAACACAAAGCAATCAATCAATCAATGTCAATACTCTGATGTATTAACCAGATAGACATCGCTTCATATTTAATACAGAAAGCAGGTGTCATTACCGGAACGGAATCCTCTTGGAGCAAACAAACATCATGGCAAAACAAAACACCGAAAAGAGACAAGCAACAATTAAGAAACTCTAAAAATAACTTAAATCGTATATATCAATCCATATATCATACAAAATTATGAAACTGAATAAAAAAGACAGACTTTGAATAATTAATACGTTTATAATGAAATGTGTAATACATTATGCCCTAATTAAAACGGATGATTATTTACCTCTCAAATTATGGAGATAACACAAATCAAAAACCACCACAACACGATAACCTAAAAAACAGGATAAACATTTAAAAAACTCTTGTTATGAAAAACATAATTAATAGTTAATAAACATTCTACAATGCTAAGCACACAACAATCTAAAGACATGCAGATTTGTTCATAAAAAAAGTTACAAGTGACATAATAATAAACATTAATGAGATTTGAAAACATAGATTGCGAAGAAGAATTAGACAAAACAATTGAAACCGTTTTTTTTTTAAATTTTAAAACTGTCGACTTGTTATTACATTTATTTTTCTATATCTTTGATTTTACCAAAAACATACAAATATTTACCGTTACATAATTATGCTCTTCAACGTTTGTCTAAGGTTTTAGATTTTCACAATTATTTTGAAAAGAATGATATTAAAAAACATTAATCGTCGAAATACGCATCTGGTGTAGAATTTAAAATTATTGTCACTGTGATCTATGCAGCATCATGCGCTATACACATGCATGTGATCCAGGGTTACTAAGCCAATTGAAATTGAAAAACAAATTTAATATTCGTTTAGGCATAGAAACGAGAAATACTGCAAGCTTGGAATATGTATGAAATTCAAATGAAATAAAATTCTGCGAAATATCTTGAATGATATTACCTCGTTAACGTCATGGCAAGCATGACGTGATTCGAGTGAAAACTCTCAATCTTAGGATCATTTCGTTACTTGTTCGCTTCAAATTCGAAAAATATCTCATCAAAAAAGTAAAATGACAAAAATACTGAAATCCGAGGAAAATTCAAAACGGAAAGTCCCTGATCATATGGCAAAATCGAAAGAATGGATAACAACGGTCATATTCCTGACTTGGTACAGGCATTTAATTATGTAGACAATGGTGGATTGAACCTGGTTTAATAGCTAGCTTAACCTATCACTTTTATGACACTCGCATCAAATTCCTTGATATTGACAACGATGCGTGAACAAAACAAACGGACATAATAGGTAAACATGTAAAAAAATACGGCTGTTAACATTGTGTTATAATCGTAATCACTAAAAAAAACAAACAAATATTTAACAAAGAAGCACAAAATGGCATATAGACCAAGCATATTAGCAAAAATCTAAGACAAGAATACACAAATTTACTATAGTACAATAACACATTGATTGGATGTATAAGTACAGAGCCACGTCATATATGTAACAAAGAAACATAAAAAGGCATATAGACTTAGTACATAGCAAATATGAAAGACAAGCAACAAACAAGTTTTACAATAGCACAATACAGGGATGTATAAGTACAGAGCCACGCTATATGTATCGAAGTAACACCAACAGGCATATAGACAAAGCACATTAGCAAAAATGAAAGACAAGAATACGAAAATATCATAAACAATAATGACAGGATGTACAAGTACCACAAGCATCTTGATCACAATAAAAACAAACAAATATTTAACAAAGAAGCACAACAAGACATTTATCAAATTTAACAACCTCATTCATTGCTGTCTTATTTTTGAATTTTATTTATGCATGTTAAATCCACCCATAAATGATTGAAAGATTTTAAGTACTGGGAGCGAAAGATCATTTTTGAGATATGTGACATTTCATTTAAGATTCCGGTAAATGTTTATAGTGTTGTACTGATTGTGAACGATGAACAAATTATTTGAAATATCAAAGCAACATCTGTTTTTGTAAAGCACAAACCTTTTATAAGATAAGACACATTTGCCATCTGTCCAGTCATTCGCGTATTTCCAAACAGATTTGTTCGATATCAAATATATGTTACCACAGTCATCTGAAGTTAAACACTCTACAAGCAATGGAAAATTTGATATTTTGTGCTCTTCCATGTTTGTTAAATCAAAGTACGAAATGTGGTTACTTCTTAGATAATACATCTTGTTCTGTCCTACAGGATGCAGAAACTGAATGTCAGGTAAATTAATACTGACACGATTATCACCTTGTAAGTTCATTGTTAGAATTTGTCCAATGCATGCAACGTATAGATTACTTTCAATGACGGCAATTGCACCAGTCATGCCTGTCGTACACTTAATCGTTGTTCTCATGTCCGTCGTGAAATTCACAATAAGAATATGACTTTTGCATGGAACTGTTATTGCAACAGTATTGTCGTCGATGATAGCAATCTGACTTTTATATTCATCAAGTTCCATTGACAATTGGTTATGCCATTCATGCTGTGCACTAATCTGAGTTTGTAGAGGCACACTGTACACACGTAAAATAAAATTTCCAGTCTTTTTCATTATTATGACAACCATTCCCTTTACACTTTTCATGTCAATCGCGCAAGTATAATTGGGAACAAACAGCCCAGATTTTCCTCCTTCAATCAATATCGCTCCATAATATGAAAATCCAATTGTTCCTCTTAACACGAGGTTATGAGCATGATGATCTGGAAACTTTTTCGAATGCTTTCTAATGCAATCTTCACAGAAAATACGCTTGCATTTAGTGCAAATGCCAGTCATATCACAGCCGTGAGTGCCGCATTGTTTACACCTAGAAAGGACAAAATACTTAACTTTATCAACATCACTAGTATTTGCTTTAACTGTTAGATTAAAAGACTTTTCTTTTTCCTTTTACCAACACACGAACGTTTCGGTTTTGTGATAAAAACGGCTTGTTGATCACACAGCAAAAGAACAAAAGGAGTAGAGTCAGCAAACACAAGGACTGTCCATATAAACGGGATTTTTTTAAAGCTTACATTGTTAGAGTACATTTTATGTGTATATATTGCAACATGTATTATATTCAAAAGAAAATGAAGGAGAAATATGCATATATGCTTCATTTGTAAAAAATATATATGCCTAAAATGGGAAATGATTTCATGTGAGTATTTTTTTTCCAAATATTGTCACATTTTCCAATTTGATTTTCATGATTTCATGTGGCAACACCCCTCACCTATGCATATGTTGGTTGAGAAGTGAAAAGCATAGTTATTGAAGAATATTGTAGCAAAAATGTTTGTGGGCAAGGGGTGGCGCCAGTTAATTTTAAAGAAACTTATGACGCAAAAGGTGAAATCTATTTCAAATGACACAATTTGACATTAAACATATGTTGTCATCAAATTATCACAACAAAGGTATGGCGAACAAATTGACTGTTTATCAATGATTTGTTGAGTGGACGTCCCCGATATGAAAGCTTTTTTCAATGTGTCATTTTAACATAAACCAAATACCTACATGTTTTGCAGTGATTCCCAGCTGAAGTTGAGAAAATCTGCAATTATAAATTTTGTCATGGTTAGGATTATTTACTATAAAATTTATGAAATTAGTATCAACAAAACGAATTTATATAAAAAGACAGGCAACCTCCTGGTAGCATGGCTGTCTGAGCTAAAAGTCGGTACTCTTACCGAGAGACATTTTATAAAGGAAAGGTGTGTTTCAAGGAAATTATTGTAGCAATGATTCTTTTGAATTAAATATTTGTTTCCCATATTTCATTGAAACCCCTGAACATATAAAGGTACATACAAAACTATTTGAATTGACAGTTGTGTGAACAGGATGATTTTTCACACGTCCACATTGCGTCTAGAAAACATATTGTGATACCAGATGGTAAATGAAGAAACGAATACAACACGATAAAAACTACAAGGTAAAAGTCTCGCTGGTGAAAGATGAGTTATTATCTAAATTTAATTTAGCAAATTCAGCCTTGAATTTTACTTTGATTATTAATCAAATATATATTTTTCAAGTACATGTATCTTATCTATAAATTACGACTCAATATACAAATATATTGAAATTAAATCATCTCATATATTTAAAGATTAGATAATAGCGGAATTTAGTATCACGCAATTGATAGTTAATTTTGAAGAGTGATTGAATTGGCTTAAGCATGTTTAGTTTGTAATCCCTTACATGTCCTTTTCAATTTCCTGGTATGAGACACTAGAACACTTCAATTATATAACAGTGGACGCTTTAGCTACATCAGTACAATATACAAATTCTGCTTCCTTTAAGCAGCTTCATGTAAAGGTAGATGGATTTTCAGGTTACATATTCTTAAAGCCAAGAGCATTCAATTTAGAGTCAAAATAAAGAAAGTAGTGAAAGCTAAGTTCTTTTGATACATCACACCTCGTAAGATTATAGTCAGATTGTAAGCCAACTCTTAAATCTACAAAAAAAATTTCTCACTTTGAATATGATTACTTTTATAACGAATCCCATATATTTAACACAAATGTTGACCAAATACATTAAGTTTCAAATGCAAACGTATGCTTAAATGCTTAAAGTCACATTGAAAGAAAAGAAACATGTTTGCAACTAGATACCATCCAAAGGGACCTTTATACAATGCTCTATATTTCAATCTTTTAGCTGACGATTGACGTCATCACCCAAATATCAAAATGCATATACTTTAGATGACCTGGAGATTTAATGAATTGGGCCCAGTTCAAGCGATGAAGTTGTCAATGTTCCGTTTCCTTAAAATGGAAACCCTTCCGAGAAGCAATAGGAAATTTTAAGAACAAACAAAATACTTTTTACACTTTTAAGCTGTATGTGATGTTATTTCCTCAACTATCCAGCATTTAAAATACGCTGTAAAGTTGTTGAAAATGTATAAACAATACGTACCCAAATCTTCTAAATACCTCTTATCTTCTTGTGGAACTACCTAAAGTAGTATAAAAGTTTTATCAAGAACAATCCTGACATTTCTCACACAAATGAATAATATAATTGTCACCCAGATTAACACAGATACAAAATAACTTGACAAGAAAATTATATTGCCCATTAATAATCAAAATATGTAGATGCCCATTAATAATCAAAATATGTACCTGTTTTCAAAACTGAAAGACATCCACGAACTGTTTAATTACCGTTCCAATGCAAATATAGTATTTTTGAAATATATACAGTTTGGTGCAGACCAAGCATTACATAAAGTAAAACGCACGTTAACGCGCGTGAACATATTTTGTTAGTTAAATTCAATTACTAGTAAACGCGCGTTTACTATAATTACGTTAACGCAGTGAAAACGGAAATTTCTAATGTCTACCCGAGTAAACGCGTGTTTACTCTGTGTCTGTTTACTTTAGATTTCACAAGTTATTTCCCGTGCACTTAAAAGTAAACGGGCGTTTACTACAGATTTGACAAGTGTATTTTTAAGTGCACTTGAACGTAAACGTGCGTTTACTTTTCGCATTAACTGATTGTGTAAATTATGATATAAACTGCGTGTTCATTTGTATATTTATTTATTAACTATGTTAAAACGACTTTTATCTTGAAGTTTTAAGTATATGTGTTTGAAACCGTGACAATTCAAAAACACTTTTAAATCGAAATATTAAGTTTTATTAATTGCAAAAATCAGTTCCAATAACTTTAAGTAGCGGATTTGCACAAACCACTTGGTTTTTGTTCTATGAATCGTCTACAGTACAATATTTTTTTTTTACTTAATACTGTATTGAACCATAGACTAGATTATATTAATATTTTATAGTCCTTTTTACGTTTCTACATGTAAAGTTACACATAGTTGCCAACATAGTTGTCGTTTTCAAAGTGCACCGAAACCTAATTAGAAGGCGGATAAAAAGTTTATCCAACGCATCGGCAACATATTTGTTTATGATGGGATATAAATATCGTGGTTTACGTTGCTTCGTTCCCCATGTTTAACAGTCTCTTCCTAAATAAAACTCTATGCATTTAATACATGGATTTTTCATCGTAATTCACCTTGTTCATGTTGTTTGCCTTGGATTTACGATTCTGCTTTTGCTAAATGTTCAACCGAAAATTGTACAGTGTATAGATATATAAAGTGTTGTATAATTATGAACCATCTCGTTAATTAAGACGGACTTATACTTGCCGATTATAAATGATATCTGGGACGTCCGAAAAAATTTACTAGTTATGAACAAGAATGTTTGCCCCTGGACGTTAAGCTACAAACAAAAGCAATCAACCGACATAATATACTAACAGTATACTATTCCTAGGAGAGAACTTCTTATACCTTTCATTATAAAGTACAAATGTAATCAGTCATGTCATTGTTGCCGTTGGTTTTTAATCATGTGTTAATCACCACTGTCAAATATTTGTATATATCCCATTTTTTTTATTGTATTCAAAACTATCCTTGCACACAGAATAGTCAACATGATGACGGTGGTCACTAACCAGTAGAAGTAGGAGTAGAAGTTTGGTGATGCTGTTAAATGTTAAATAGTTTTGTTTTTAATACAAAGCATCTCGAACTACTGTTTTAGTGACGGTTCATTGTTATGGATACAGAGAGGAACTACTGGCATTCTAAATTGATGTGGACACAATTTTGTAGTCATTGTGTTCCAATATTGCTGTAATTTGTATTATACAATCCATCCTGACAAAGTAAACCTTCTGATTTAATAAGCTGCCATATAAATTTAAATACTAAAGTGCAAATATGATCATTGTTGATTCCGTCAAATGATTAGATATACGAGCCAGCCTGAGATATCAAAACAACTGATTTTTTTGTGGCGAGTCTATATTTTGAACATGTTGTATAAATTGCTGCCTTTTAACTTTAAGTTGATGCAATAAAATTTGTGTACTCATTGTGTTCCAATATTGCTGTCATTTTTATTATATAATCCATCTTAAGATAACAAAAAAAAAAACCAATTCACTATGCAACTATATAGATTTATATAATAAAGTGCAAATATGTTCAGTTCTGGTTGATGCGGTCAAATAATTTTGTTAAACGAGTCAGCATAAAATATTAAAACTACTAATTTTTGTGGTAAGTCAATACTTTGAACATGTTGAATAAAAAGAGGAAATGCTAAAACTTTTAATTGATGCGGAAAAAATTTGTAGTCATTGTGTTCCAATATTGATGTCATTTGTATTATACAATCCATCTTGAGATAACAAAAAATCCAATTCACTATGCGACTATATAGATTTACATAATAAAATACAAATATGGTCAGTTTTGGTTGATGCGGTCAAATAATTTTGTTGTATGAATAAGCCTGAGATATCAATACTACTGATTTTTTTTTACGATTCGATATTTTGAAATAAAAGAGGACATGCTAAACTCCAAAATTGATGCGGACAAAATGTTATAGCCATTGTATTCCAATATTGCTGTCATCTTTATTATACAATCCATCCTGACATAGAAATATTACTGATCTACTATCAGGCGATATATATTTACAAAATAAAGTGCAAATATGGTTAGTTTTGGTTGATATAATCTAATAATTTTGTTATAAGTTTTAGCCTGAGGTATGAAAACTACCATGTCTACAGAAATTTTTTAATAGGATTCAATATTTTGAATTAAAAGAGGACATGCTGGCACTCTAAATTGATGCAGAAATTTTTTTGTAGTCAATGTGTTCCAATATTGCTGTCATCTTTCTCATACAATCCATCCTGACACAGAAATATTACTGATTTACCATGAGGCTATATATGTTTACAAAAAAACAAAATGGAAATATGGTTAGTTTTGGTTGATGCAGTCAAATAATTTTGTTACACGAGTCAGCCTGCGGTATCAAAACTACTGCAATTTTTTTACGATTCAGTATTTTGAATTAAAAGAGGACATGCTGGCACTCTAAATTGATGCGGAAATTTTTTTTGTAGTCAATGTGTTCCAATATTGCTGTGATTTTTATTAAACAAACTATCCTGACATAAAAACATTACTTATTTTCTATGAGGCTTTATATATTTACAAAATGAAGTGCAAATGTGGTTTGTTTTGTTTGATGCAGTCAAATAATTTTGTTATACGAGTCAGACTGAGGTATCAAATCAACTAAACACATTTTACGACATGCTGGCTCTCTAAACTGATGCAGACAAAATTTTGTAGTCATTGTGTTCCAATATTGCTGTCATTTTTATAATACATTCCCTCCTGACATAACAAATATTACTGATTTACTATGAGGCTATATAATTTTACAAAAACTGTTGCAAATATGGTAAGTTTTGGTTGATGCAGTCAAATAATTTTGTTATAAGAGTCAGCATCAGGTATCAAAACTACTGAAATTTTTTTACGATTCAATATTTTGAATAAAAAGAATACATGCTGTCAATCTCAATTAATGCGGACAAAATTTTGTAGTCATTGTGTTCCAATATTGCTGTCATCTTTATTATACAATCCATCTTGACATAGAATTATTACTGATTTACTCTGTGGCTATATATATTTACATAATAAAGTGCACATATGGTCAAATATTTTTGTTTTTGTTTGAGGCAGTCTGAGATGTGAAGGCTGCTGGATTTTGGTGATGATTTAATTATTTGAATCAAAGAAGGACATGTTTATTTGTGCAGAAAAAGAAATATACTATGATTATTTTCAATTGATTAAAGAGGTGTTATATAATTTACTGTATTCGTGAATATTAATTTTGATGTACCTTATCATTTGATATGTAAGGTCAGTGTATCAAGGATATGACGAAAATCTGCCTTAACACGCGTTTACTAAAACAGTAAACGTGCGTTTACTTTTTACGGAAAGAGAAGACGCGCTTTTTTCACGTTAACGCGGAATTAAACGCGAATGTAAACGCCCGTTTACTCGTTACAAAATTAAAAGACGGGCCATTTTCGCGTTAACGCGGAGGTAAACGCGAAAGTAAACGCCCGTTTACTTTTTATGTCTACTGAATTTTCGGAGTGCACATGAGTAAACGCCGTGGTAACAATTTCCGCCCGTCTACATGTAATGCTTGGTCTGCACCCAACTATATATATATTGTGAAAGTACTTTAAATCGTGTGTATCAATTTTCGTGGATTAAGCAAAAGTTACATGTTCTAAAATTCGTGGAATTAGTTTTCTGGAAAAAATGTCGGATGATGAATTTTATAAACAAATAAACAAAGATTAATAATAATTATATGGTGTTCATTTTCACTCACATGTATGTCTTTCGTTCGAACAATTAACATCCATCAAATTTTTAATAGAATAATCACTTTCAGAAATAAGCTGAAATATCTGTGCATACAAGCTGTCTCATTGAAGGAAATTGCAAAGTAAACATTTTATTTGGTACACGCGTGTAATCAGAAGTGTTGACATTTATTAATCCGAGATGGAATGATCAACAGATTAACAATGAACAAAAGAGTTAATTGGGCCATTAACATGTCATTTAAATATTAAGGTTGCACAAAAACGCCTCAAATGTACATTGAATTCATTCTTATGAAATAATACTTATTGAAAAAAAATGCAAGCCGAGAATTATGATACGGGTAACTCGCGTTCCGTTCTCCCCGAGAACAGATTCTAACAATAATGTTAGCATTGTAAGTGTGTTTTCGACTTATGAGTTTGAACTACTTCTTTGGCACATTTCGTCTTTCTTTTTTCTACCCTATAAAGTTAAGAACCATGGAATGATAGAATATTAATAATGGAAGATGCGGTATGATTGTCAACGAAAAAACTCTCTACATGAGCCAAATGGACACAGAAATTAACAACTATAGGTCACCGTATTGGATAAGTCTGACAGTTATGAAGTGGTCAAAACAGATCCCAACCGTAGAATAATGCTCCCGCTTGATACGACAGAAGAAGTTGAACCCCGAACAGTTAAGACAAGTATTAGCATTACGTTAAAGCTTGATACAGTTCAGAATTTAGATTGTGATTAAATATTTAATACAGTCAGGTTTCTGATACAGATCAAATGTCGTCAATGAACTGAACAATTTGAAATTAGACTTTTACCCAATATAGTCCAATGTCAAACATATAAATACACTGCTAGAATATGAATATCCAAGAACACATTTAATTTTCTATTTATGTAAAATATCAGCTAAAATGCACCATAACGGAAAATAATTTAAGCTGTAATTGGTAGGAATAAAATTGAGAATGGACTGGGGAATGGACTAGAGACAAAAAACCGACCAAAGGGCAGAAAACAGCCGAACCTTTTATTAAAATGTTTAATATTTGTTTATGTTAGTGGCGCACAGCTGAATGTGTATGATAGTTGAAGTTTTTTTGTCATCAGATAATGATTGAAGTTGTTACATATTGTGATTTTAGGTGACAGGAAAGGCAGGAAATGTGATGTATAAATAGAAGTAATAGTAGTATACCGTTGACCAATAGTCATAAATCGATTTAACTGAAACAAATCCGGGTCACAAACCAAAACTGAGGGAAACAAATCAACTATAAGAGGAAACAAAACGGAACAACAGAAAAAAGTGAACTGCTACAAAAACAAACGCCAACATACATAGAAACGGACTATGTGATAACAATTGCCATATTCCTGACTTGGTACAGGAAATTTCAAGAACAAATAGTGGGTTGAACCTGGTTTTATGGCTAGCCAAACCTCCAGCTTATATAGCAATGTTAAAAATACCGCTAAAATGACAACAGTATGTGACAGGAATAAAGTACAAATAAATGCAAGAACATTCAGTACAGAGAAATACATAAATTAGTAATATAATAGTCCATTTCAACATGTTAACTACAGATTAACAACGAACACCTGAAAACTAATTTACGACAGAACACAAATACAGCACAATAGAATAATGAACTGTATGTCACACGAATGTATCAACGCCACAAAAAGTGACGTCACAGATAAATTTCTAAAAATACAATATGAGATTGAGATTAAGTTGTTATTTATTTCCTGTAGAAAGAATAGTAGTCAGCACTTTAGAAAGATGTATAGTCATCATGATGATCCGCCTAGGTGCTTTAAAAGGAGTTTTGTGAAGTTTTGGTATCCAGTATAATGACAGTATTTTTTTTCGGTTTCTTAAATGTTAATACCAAAAGAAAGAAGAACCGATTTGTGATTTTGTAAAATTTCATCCTTTGTAAATGATGTTATTTTTGATATCCTAACGGTTTTCAAGATATAGAGCGGACATGATCTATACCATATCACATGGGGTTGTCAACTGAACAAAAGTTTTTGACCTTGACCTTTGACCTAGGAAGTTGTACAAACATAATGACACACCCTCTGGTGTTGGTTGATATACATGTCAAGTATAAACTTTAAAATCATAGCGGTTTCTAGATATAGAGCGGACACAATTTGTTACTGACAGATTGATCACTATAGGACGACCCGGCGGGGCCATAATTCAGTATCAATAATTTGAATACATGATAACCATCTTAAAAAAGAATAATGCATGAACAATAATCATTAAAGTTAATATATCTGAATAAGCACAATACTTAGTTACATTTGAAAATGACAGCTTTCCATGTGCATATCACCTTAAAGGTAATAAATAAATCATAAACTTAAACATTTTAAATGTTTAAGTTTATGATTTATTTACTTAGTTACATTTGAAAATGACAGCTTTCCATGTGCATATCACCTTAAAGGTAATAAATAAATCATAAACTTAAACATTTTAAATGTTTAAGTTTATGATTTATTTATTACCTTTAAGGTGATATGCACATGGAAAGCTGTCATTTTCAAATGTAACTAAGTATTGTGCTAATTCAGATATATTAACTTTTGAAAATGACAGCTTTCCATGTGCATATCACCTTAAAGGTAATAGATAAATCATAAACTTAAACATTTAAAGGGCAGGTAACTCTTAATTTGAAATACAACAATTACAATTGTTTCTTGTTTACTATTATTTGTCTATTTTTGTCTTTTTCATTTTTAGCCATGGCGTTGTCAGTTTATTTTCGATTTATGAGTTTGACTGTTCCTCTGGTATCTTTCGCCTCTCTTTTACATAAAATAGATCAAATGTAAGTAATTCAACACAGCAAAAACATCAATTATTCAATGTGTGCTGAAATCAAATAAAGTTTAAATTAGACAATTTTGACTCTGATGGGGACCAATTAGAAAAATGAGTCCATTCAAGAATCTAAAGATCAGACATATTGAAATCAATCAAAAAATATTTTGACTCCCTTATTTGGACCAACTGAAATACGGATTACGCCGTTAAAAAACCCAAAATTTCTAAATTATTCAAACTTAAAGTAAATTGAAATTTGTCATAAATATGCAGTCCACAGTTTTAAAAATTGCTTGTTTGTTTTACCGTTTTCGGCCCCTCATTCCAAAGCGGATACAAACATAACCCCAAACTTCAATCCAACCTTCCTCTTGTGATATGAAACCTCATGGTACAATCTCATACAAGTTCATACACTTATATTCAATTCATTGATCGGAAACCACAAACATGTTTGCTTTTGGTCCCATTTTGGACCACAATTTTGGAACGGTAAGGCCAAAACCCCCAAAATCTATCCCATCCTTACTTTTATGGTATGAAACCTCAAATTACAATTATTTAGACATCCATACACTGATACTAAAGATATTTGTCTGGAAACGACATCGCCATACCATTATACGGCTGATAATTTTTACTGTCGTATAAAAACTATAAAAAATCAATTGTTACAATAAGTATATTAGATATAATTTTGGAATGTTTTGATTTCAAAAGGGTATAATTTCTTAGTCTTATAAGATATGTATCAACAGTTTACCAACCAGCCAATTTACTATTGTTTGTATGCAAAAGAAGTGAAAAAAGTTAAAAACAAGTACTTACTTTGTTCCTGTTTGTGGTGACTATTTTTGCAAGTGCTCCAATAATAGCGCTTCTTTCTTTACGCTGTCTTTTAAAGTCAGATATAAGACAGTCTGGCATGAATTCCAAAAACATTGTTGTAGTTGGTAAGGTCATGTCATATTCATGGCGTTTGTTTTCTGTCTTTAAAATGAATAAATATTATTAATACCGCGTTTATGAAGTTTCATCGTTCACACACTATGCAATTTTTGTATGTTTTTCCTCTAAATATTATTGCACCGAGATTACTTTATAAAACAAAACACATGTTATGTATATGGAAACCGTTTTATTCTTTCAAATGAGGAAAGAGCAGAAATGATAACGTTTTAAATGTTTTTTTAACTTTCAATAGTTACCATAAATTCGAGAAAAGATGTGTATTTTTCGAACACCATATATGTATATATATATGTATTATTTCTAAATTACAAAGTTTTGCTTTCTGTTGTACTGATAAGCTTACTTTTGATTAATGATTCTGTCTTTTTATAATGTTTCAAGAGAATATTGAGCATAAATCGATTATGGGTCCAAAAACAATTATCGAGAATGTAATATGTACCAACCAATGTTATTTTCAAATTGATACTGTAAATGATAAGCTGGGATTCACAATGTGACGTAGTTTTCCGACTTAGCTGCATAAAGCATACAATATTAATATGAACACAATTAGATAACAGAGAGGTAAAAGATGCCAAAGGGACTTTCAAACTCACAAGTCAAAAATAAACTGACAACGCCATTACTACAAAGGAAAAAGACCAACAGACTAACAACAGTACAAAAACACAACATAGAAAACCAAAGACTAAGCAACACGAACCCCAACCGAAAAATGGGGTGATAGCAGGTGTTCCTTACGGCTAAGCAGATTCTGCTCCACATGTGGAACCCATCGTGTCGATGACGTTAGTACAAACCCGGTAGTAGTTCATACTTATGGATAAAAAGGGGCAGGATTGTAGTTACGACAATTGAAACATTAACTCTGTCATCTGTGAAACAGATATTCCATAACGGTCAACCAACTCGTGGTGGCGTCTGTCAAATTTACGAAGAGGTGCTTGCAACTTCACCACTTGGAAAACTTGGTTTGATAGATTCCCTGTGAGCAGCAATCCTCTGTCAAGGAAATGATGATAGGAAATACAAGCCCTGGAATATCGTATCAACTGGGAAACATATACTCCGAATGCAAGATCTGCTGTAATGCTTCTACATAGTAATAGAAATTTCACATTTGCGAAGCTGAACATATCTCTTTTATCGTAGAGTTTTGTTTTTAATCGACCCTCATTGTCAATTTCTAGATGTAAATTAGTGCATACTTGACTGTATCTGTTGTATCCTTTTTTCAAGTTCGATTGGATGAATGTTTTGAATATAGTCGCCAAATTATAAATTATTTAGTGCGAGAAAACATCATCTATATAGCAGAAAGTGAAGTTAAAGGTTACTGTTTACGTGTTTTCTTTCTTTTTATTTGCGTTACTTGGAAGCACATTTGATTAAAATTTAAAGATTTTAATTGATACATCCATATCAAAGTTGTATCAATTTATGTATCGACGATTTGAGGTTCAAGGTATCAGCTTCAATTTCAAACATCTAAAAATATTTATAAAACGCAAAACCACAATTTTACCTGGCGTTTCTTTTCTCGTTGTACTTCTTTTATTTTCATGTCTAGTAAATATATTTCCCCAAGTTTCTGTAAGGCCTTTTCTTTATTAATCACGTAATCCTGTAATTCTTTCACAGATTCTTAAGTAAAAGAAAAACAATAATACTTCGCTGAGAGAAATTAATTTTGAATGTGGTATTTTGATTAAGCTGTCCAATATTTTTAAAGACAAATGAGGGTTATTCTTAAAAGTATTGGACAGTTGAAAGTAACATAAGTCTTCCAGGTAAATGATAGTCTAATGACTGACATAACGAACGGGTTTAACAATTACATGTATATGACGTCAAAACAATGTTTTAACTATTCATATTCTAAATCTATATAGAAATAAGAAGATGTGGTATGAGTGCACATGAGACTCTCCATCAAAGTCACAATGTGATAAAATTTAATAATTATAGGGCAAAGCACGGCCTTTAACAAGGAGCTATAAAGGGCCCCAAAATAACTAGTATAAAACAATTCAAACAAGAAAACCAACGTCATAATCTATATGAAAAACGAGAAACGAGAAACACTTATGGACTACATTAACAAACGACAACCACGGAACAACAGGTTCATGACAAATGCAAGTAAACGCAACGGGTTTATATATATATATATTTATATATAAATTGCGGTTTTTATCCAACGCAATCATAGGTTTGAACGTTGTTTTCAATTTAGACTTGTTTATATTTTTTCGATGTTGTTCACAGTGTGGTGGTATCGAGAAAAGCAATTTTCTCGCTTGAAAATTCAGATGTAAATTTAATTGAATGATGGAACTGATTACAATGATTTAAGAAATCTTGTAAATGTTCTGCAGTATCGTTCCATTTCATGTCAATATCATCAATAAAACGGAACCATGACAAGGGTTTGTATGGCACACTCAAAAGGATGCGTTCTTCAAGATTCCCCATAAAAATGTTGGCAAAAGAAGGTGCCATTTTTGATCCCATACTAGTTCCGTCTGTCGTTTGGGACAACTAAAAAAACAACTAAAATCAAGAGGATACAAAAGCAAAAACATCACAGACGCTTTTGATAAAGCCCAAGAAAAAGATCGAGATATCCTCATGGAATACAAAGATAAGACGACCCGCGCAGATAGAATTCCGTTTGTTGTCACCTTCCATCCCGATTTGACAAATATTGCATCTACTATCCGCAAGCACTGGCGTCTTATCGAAAATGACTCTTCCTTAAAAGAAATTTCCCATCACCTCCTGTTATTGCCTATCGCAGACCCAAAAATCTCAAAGACATACTTGTCACATCTAAAGTAAAGAAACAAGAGACTTCTAAAATTGGGTGTTACAAACAATGCGGAAGAACCAATTGTAAGTGCTGTAAAGTCGCCAACACTGACCACTCTTTCAGCAGCACAGTAACAAAGCAGCGATACAACATCTATGTTACATCTAATTGCAAAACGGAAAATAGTATTTATATTCTTACTTGTGGAACTTGCAAGCTGCAGTATGTTGGTGAAACAGAAACGAAATTCAACATCAGACTTGACAATAACCGGTCTTTTTATACAAAAGGAAGAAACTGTCCAATTACGAGACACCTCTTAAGAACAGGGCATACTTTTGAAAATATCACCTTTCAAATAATTGAGGTAAACCAAAATTGGGACTCCCAAAGGAGAAAACAGAGAGAAAGGTTCTGGATGCATCAGCTACGTACTCTTGAACCTGATGGACTTAATGAGAGAGATGAAAAACAGTTCTACCCAAATCCAAAAGGAATAAATCCTGAACTTCATTCTATTTAACTAAAACAACTATTTGTTTTGATTTAAGAATTGCTATGTACAATAAGCGGCAAAAATATTTTTCTAGACAATTTACAAACATATATTTTTTATAGAACATCAATAAATTTTGTTAAACTTTTACTCAAATTTTGTATAGTTCAAGCTACAAAAATATCTTTTTGTCATGCATCCGATTTCACCTTGAGAGATGCACACGCCTGATGAAGCTAATTTGTTTAGCGAAATATTGCGTGAATAATATAAAATATAACAACTAATTGTATAACACTCATTAGTGTGTTAAAGTTACATTCTTAGGCACTTATATAATTTAATGTAGTAACTGCATCAGTTTATTTACAAACTGATCCACGCCTAAATAGATTGAATGTTGATTGTTGCTATTTTTAGACACTATATATATATATATATATATATATATATATTATATATATAAGTGCCTATAAATAGCAACACATGACATACACATCTAGGGGCCTCGGTGGCCGAGTGGTCTAAGTAGTTACTACTGTTATCACTAGCCAGTCAACATTGAGGTTGTAAGTTCGAATCCAGCTCGTGCGGGAACACTCGACTTCAATCTTAATTGACTACACAGGAAAAATTGCAACATATGTTTTTCATATGTTTTCAAAACATATGAAAAACATATGATTTTCATATGTTTTTCATATGTTTGTCCCAAACATATGAAAAACATATGTTTACAAACATATGTTTACATATGTTTTGAAACATATGAAAACATATGGAAGCAAACATATGTTTTCATATGTTTTATAAAATATGTTTACATATGTTTGTAAACATATGAAAAACATATGATTTTCATATGTTTTCATATGTTTTAAAGGACATTAAAAAAAAATGTTTTGAGAAAATGTCAAAATTTGTCATTTAATTATCACATACATTTTTTCATTTATTATCTATATAGCGTATTTCTCAAACAGGAAAGTTCACTTTCTACTCTTCCCACTAAATCCCACATGATCATGATGATGAAAACAGGTCAGCCCTGTCAGTGTCACCCCCACAGCAGAGCTATCTAATTTTGAATTGAACAGAATGTAGAATAAGTGAATGGGTTATAAATATTAAATAATAATATGAATAAATATTCTTTATTTAGTTTGTTCTTTATTCTCAATTCTTTTTTTTTTTATTAATAATCCAATTATTCTCTATGATTCTTTATTCTATATTTCTGCCTTTTTTTACTATCTGTTCTTTATTTTGCACTTTTTGTCATTATTTTCTATTCTTAAACTCCCATCTTGATTCCAGACCCTCAAATATACGTAAATGTAAGAAAGCTTGCCGCCATGGTACGTCGAACACGAAAACCCGGAAATCTTTTCACCGTTACCGTTTTTTATACTATGACGCAAAATCCATGGACGCTCACGCGATCATCTGTTGCTGTCATTTTAACAGTTTTTAAGAATGGACAGAGATAGATGATACAAGGAACTTTGGTTTTTCAAACTGGTGAATCAAAAATTTATTATAAACAGATAAATTGAAATGGGTGACTTGTCGATTAACTGGAAGAAACCGGGGAACGAAACATAGAAAATTTATGAAACGAAAGTCAACGCAACAAAAGTCAAAGTGTTTTTGTTTTGATGGATAATTTTACGTACCCTAAAAGCGGAACGAAAGGTAAATATTATTATGCACATTTTGTTTAATTATTGGGTAAAAGCAGGAAGATGTGTGTGCTTTATTTTTCACGAAAGACTATTTGACTGTAGATACTGTATTTGTAAACCTGAGAACGACAATGAACAACCCCCCCCCCCCCCCCCCCCCCCCATAATTGTAATATAAATATAATTGCATTGGGTAATCCATTTCATTATCTATTTATATTTCATAATGAGGATATTACAAGATTTAGACACAAATACATCCCAAATAACCATATAATTTGTAAGCCCTTTAGACAATAAGACAAACTTGGAAAAAGGGGGGATATCATATACAAGGGGAGGACATCATATACTTGATGTAATGTATTGAAATTGTTTATCTAATGTCACAACAGAACTTAATTACTTTAACTGATGCAGACCTGTATATCTTATGATACATGTGTGGTATTTGTATTTGTTTTTCAGTTGTTTTAAAACCATGAAACTGTAGACGACTTTATTATCTCTCTAGCAATTAATAGCTATTTTACACTTAATAGATAGGGGTGCTCCTGGGGATCAATTACTCCCCCCTTTTCATATAATTTAGATTTAAAAAATGTATATACCTTTTCATACATCGCGTAGGTAATAATGTACATGTAACCTTTCCCCAATTTTAATAATGAATGATTCCAGGACATGCAGGAGCGGACAAGAATCACATTCCGGTATTACCGAGAAAATCATCACATTTGATTAAAGCTCAAATCTGAGGCTCAAATTCCTTATTTCATGTTAACTTAAGGCAAAACAAGACTTGCAACTACACAAATGTAAGAAAATTACAGGGCTTTGCATCTGAGAGGGGGGTAGGACCTTTATCGGGACTCTGGGATCGGGTGTTTTTAAGCTCGGGATTTCGGGATTGATCCTTTCGGAATCCGGGAATTCTTTTTTTTCGAATTTTGGGATGTCTGGATTTAATTTTTTTTAAATTCGGGACCTCAGAATTCAATGTTTTTAAGCCCGGGATTTCGGGATCAGGACCCCTCCTACCCCCCATCATATGACAAGTACAATAAGCCTTGATTATCCTGAGTCTGAGACTACTATTACTGAGTACTATAACAATAAACATCTAGTGTTTCTCAGCCTTATCATACATGTATTATACCTCTGATAGTTTTCCACACCTATTCACATATGTTTAAGCTGAAAAATATGACCCAGGCTATTACAGCGGCAGGTCTTATCACCTTGTACATTATAAGTAGAAGTGGACCCTAGAGTGCATGAATGGTCTACTTTACATCTACATGTACTTAAATGTGAATATAAAAATAAGAAGATGTGGTAAGATTGCCAATGAGAAGAGTCCAATTCTCCACAAGAGATCAAATGACATAGAAGTTAACAAGTATATTAAAGTTATGGTACAAATGTACAAGATGACTTCAACAATGAACAAAGCCCATACCAGAAAGTCAGCTATAAAAGACATTTAATGGAAATGACAAATGTTAAACAATGCAAATGAGGAAACTAACAGACTGATAATGATTTATAAACAAAACAAGGAACAAATAAACAAATATGATATACAGCAACAAGAAACAGGGCAAGTCTAGATCTGTTGTTCTTGTTTTAAAAGATCAAAATAAGCCAT